CAGGGGTCCAAGATTATCTTCTGTGTCTGTGTTAATTGGTTTCCCTTTTCTTTGTTGAAGAGGGTCTGTGCAGTCCTTCTGCCTAGTCCGCCATCTTGCCAGAACTCCCAAATGACAATCATTTTTAAATGAATCTTAGTTTTCATATCATTTCCGGGAGTTACATTTAGAGTGACGTGCAGAGAACTACACTCAATGCAATCAAAATTAGTGTACGTAATACTTCTTTCCCTTAAAATAGTAAAAGTGCACTGTTGGTTAGGGAATGCACTATTTAGAAATGTAATTTTGAATAATGCAGTATTGGTAGAATGCCTTCTGAGTCTATATGATGATCTATAGAACAGGTAGACTGTGCAATAGTATGTGTCTTTAAAACCCCTATTGGAGGGAGCCATTTATTAAACACGGCACACAGAGGTGTGGTATTGATGAGGAGGCTGCCAGCTTTTACTGCCTAGCAACCTAGTAGATTATTTTAGGGCATCGGTTGAGAAGCAAAACCATTTCCTTCAATAAATATGGAATTGTGCACCTTATGGTCCCAGTGATAACATTGTTTATTTTTAGCCCATTGGGTGGGAAGGCCTTGAAAGGCAGGTATTTAAGGTTTGTGTACATGTGTGTGTGCATGTGCAGAGAGAATTCATATAAAATTGGCGCTTACATGTTCAAGATTATTAAAGGAGAGAGGTTATTGCTTCTCTTTGAGGCCAGGTGAAATGGCGGAGATAATGGCCCTAGAAGACTAGGGAAGGAAAACTGCTGTTCTTTGACCACTTTTGAATGGGAAGAATCTACATCCACACTGTCATCCTACAGACAAATGTCAATTCATTTGCAAGCAATTTCTTCTCTGTTTTTTCAGCTAATTACCAAAATATGTTCTGTTCTTTCCTCATGTAGACTCTGTTTTTTCTCAAGTTTTGTGGAATGTTAGTCATGAAGAAAAAACAAACAGAACTGTCTCTGTAGCTGAGACATTGTCACTTTTTTTTTTTTTTTAAATTGTGATTTGGGTGAAAGTTTACAGAGCAAATTCCCTTTCCGTACAGTAGCTCACATATACTTTGTCTCATGACATTGACTGCAATTTCCCACAATGCAACAGCTCCCCTCCCACTTCCTCCGCATAGTTATCTCTTCCCAGTGTCCATCTTTCCATACACTCCTGCCCCCTGAGCTGTCTCCCTGTGCATACACAGCCCTTCTATTCTCCCATGATTTTTCTCTCCAAGGAGTGTATCTACCTAATGTAAATGTTCAGCTCATATGCCTGTCTTTTCTTTGGCTGTATTTCACAGGAGTGGGTTCAATTCCAGACCTGAAAGACAGCTAGGCACCATAGGCTCAGGGGTTCCATCAGGTTCTATCAGACCAGTAGACCTGGTGTTCCCCCCCCCTTTTTTTTTTTTTTTTTATGATTTTGAGTTTTGTTCCACATTGTTCTCCCACTCTATCCAAGATCTCCTACATAGATCCCCCTGTGAGTGGTTGACAGTGGTACATTGTCACATTTTTAACTTCATACTGTGACAGAATGATTCTGTCAATAGCCTCTATAAATTCTGGGAAATAAATCTCCATATCCTCTCCCCCCCAGTTTCCTTTGATCAAATATGAGGTCAGATTTTGTTGTATTGATTAATTTTGGGAAATGATTTTTATTCCACTCTCTTTCTTATCAAATTTGAAGTAAATTTTTTTTCAGTATTCATTTCTAAGTGACCACCTTCTCCTTTCAGGGTTTGAATGATTGTATACAATGTATCTGCCTCACCTTCAGAGCTTTGTACTCAATGTTCATGTTTGAAAGAGTGATTTGATAAACACTGCTGTACAGTTGAGTGTAGATGGGATTGCTAGTCAGGTTGCTTGGGGGCGACCCTGTGTATTTGAAGTATTTGGTCCATGTAATAGGCATCATATGATTTATCATGGGTAAGCCGTACCTGAATCCCTGTATGGCACTGTTAAGGAAGCACTTGAGTACTATCTGAAAGGTTGGCGAGTCCACCCAGAGGTACCTCAGAAGACAGTCCTGGTGATCTGCTTCTGGAAAGGTCAGCCTTGAAAACATTATGGAGCAGTTGTGCTCTGTACATGTAGGGTCATCATGAGTCAGAGTCGACTTAATAGTAACTAACAACAATGAAACTGTAATTGAGGCTCTTAAGAAACAGGGGAGACTGGGAGGAAGGACATCCAGGATCCATTTTAGCCCCTGGTGGTATCCCTTGTACTGTGAACATGTACCACCACCCATCTGTCAGTTTGTCTTACTGTGGTGGCTTGAATGTTGCTGTGATGCTGGAGGCTATGCCACTGGTATTTTAAATACCATCAAAGGTCACCCATGGTGCACAGGTTTCACTGGAGGTTCTAGACTAAGATAGACTAAGAAGAAAGGCCTGGAGATCTGCTTCTAAAAGTAAGTCAACATATACCCTAGGGATCACAGCAGAGCATTGTCCGACACAGTGCTGGAAGACGTGCCCCCTGGGTCGGAAGACACTCAAAATACAGAGCAGCCACAACAGTGGACTCCAACCTGCCAACGATCATGAAGATGGAGAGGACTGAGCAACAGCTCGTTACATTGTCCATGAGGTCGCCATGAGTCCGAGCTGACTTGGCGGCCACTAACAACAGCTGTCACGGAGCTCTGGTCAGGAGGGACATTAGTAGATCTCTCAGAAACATCTGTGTGAGGACCTCTGATAACTTTGACATGAGGACACTTGTTAAAGGGCTGTTGTTAGCTGCCATGAGTCAGCCCCCAACTCCTGGTGCCCCATGCGTGGTAGAATGCTGCCTGGTCTTGCACCATCCTTATGATTGGTTGCAGATCTGACTGTTGTGATCCATAGTGTTTTCACTGGCTGATTTCTGGAAGTAGATCTCCAGGCCTTTCTTCCTAGTCCTTCTTAGTCTGGAAGCTCTGCTGAAACCTGTTCGGCATCATAACAGTAACAGCAAAGACCTTTAGATCTATTTCACAATGTTTTAGGACACCTTTGACTGGTGAACTAGCACTTAGTTTGATTCACTACAGCCTTTTGGAAGGCTGTGGGTCATTCTGTTCTCTCCTTCATATTGGATATCCCTCCAGCAACACTCAGTCATGGGTTTTTCTAGGAATTTCTCTGGCTGGGCTGTGCTTCATTTTCTGAAATGAGTTTCTTGAGATTTTTATGTACATTGATTGTTCTTCTTGCTTAAGAAATTGGTCTTCAACTTCCCACTTTAATCTCTTAAAACCCAAACGGACTTCTTTCCTTTTTATGGTATAATGTAAGTAGCTCTGAGGAGCCCTGGTGGCCCAGAGGTTAAAGTGCTGGGCTGCTGCCTGCAATGTCAGCAATTCAAACACAACAGCAGTGGCTCTGCAGGAGAAAAGACCTGGTGATCTGCTCCTGTAAAAATTAGAGGCTAGGAAATCCTATGGGACAGTTTTACTTTGTCACATGGGGTGACAATGAGAATTGACACAATAGCCCATGGCAACAACAGTAACAAAGTAGTTCTGGAAGATCGTTGCAGCTCTGAAGGCTTTAACTTATTTTTATATAATCATATTTATACTGGATGATGGAAAGTGCACACGTGTTAGAATCTGACAGACCTTTGTTTGAATCTTAGAGCTACTGTGCTCTGGTTGTGTGGCCTTGGGCAGCTAGCTTGCTTATTCCCTGAGCCCCAGTTTCCTCATTTTGAAAATGAAGTAACAGTACCTTCTGGGGTGGTCGTGAAGATTGAAGGGATGATATATGTTCTTCATATACCCTCTGTGTACCCTTTACCCTTTCTGTCCTCCAACCAGCTTGATGTCTGCTGGCCAGAGCCGATGGGTCCTGATACCCACCTTCTTCATCCATGGAAATGGCCCTAGGGACAAATGCTCAGGGCATTAGACATAATCAGTGATGTACTAACATCTGAGGACCGTAAGAGTACAAACATCCAGCTTATTCACCCGTGCCCTGGGATGACAATCTTAGTCTTCTACTGCAGCAGCTGGCTTAATCACTCACCCCTTACCAACTGCTTCCCTCTCCTGTCTCACCTTACAGCGATCCCATGGTTCCTTGCCAAAAACAAAACCTGTTGCCTTTGAGTCAACTCCAACTCATGGCGACCCTATGTGTTACAGAGTAGAACTGTTCCATAGAGTTTTCTTGGCTGTAATCTTTACAGAAGCAGATTGTCAGACCTTTCTTCTGTGGCACTGCTGGGGGGCTCAAACCCCCAACCATTAGGTTAGTAGCCGAGAGCAAACTATTTTGGCCACCCAGGCCTGTCATGTGGCTATGAGGAGATTTATAATTGTATGTATGGCTCACATTCTGTTTCTATCGGATAGTGCTGTTTTAGAAAATTATCAGAGTATTTAGGAATGCCTCCCAGGGTCGTGGAAGCAGCCTGTAATCTCCTTCTGTGTTTTCTTTTAGGTTATATGTCTCCACACCCCTCTCCATTGGGAGCCCCAGAGCATGTGTCCAGCCCCATGTCTGGCGGAGGCCCAACACCACCCCAGATGCCACCGAGCCAGCCTGGGCCCCTCATCCCAGGCGATCCGCAGGCCATGAGCCAGCCCAACAGAGGCCCCTCGCCTTTCAGCCCTGTCCAGCTACACCAGCTCCGAGCTCAGATTTTAGCTTACAAGATGCTGGCCCGGGGCCAGCCCCTCCCCGAAACACTGCAGCTCGCAGTCCAGGGGAAGAGGACGTTGCCTGGCATGCAGCAGCAGCAGCAGCAGCAGCCACAGACGCAGCCGCCACAGCCGCAGCAGCCCCAGCCCCAGCCCCAGCAGCCAGCCCTTGTTAACTACAACCGACCATCTGGTAGGTTAATGTGCAACCAAATGAAGGATGTGGTGGTCTGGCTCTGATCAGAAGGGCTGCTGACTGCAGGGAAGTACTGGGTTGGATCAGCTTGGGGCTGACTTGGCCTTTTGTTATTACCTCCCTTGCTCCCTTTTCTGCATCTGTGGCTCCAAGTTGATGGTCAAGATTCTTGGTCTTCTCCTGCTGTAGTGTCCTAGAGCCATGTTTCACAACCTTTGGAGATGATGCAAGCACTCTAGGAGAAAAAGCACTCTCACCCATGATTTTGGAGGTTTACAGTTTCTCTGCAGCTCATCCATGGATCCCAGGTTAAGAGCCCGTGTCCCCAGTGCGTTCATCACTGAAAGCCACTCCTCAAAGCAGCACTGCTAGATCCCACTTAATTGGTTGATCTCTACCCCTGTTTATTGTGAAAAGCATTTGGGCAGCCTTACAAGAGACATACCTGCAGAAAAATCATGATAAAGTAGAAAATCAGAAGCAGGGGAAATAGGGAAAGAAGTAAGAGATTGAGAACAGGAAGGTAGGAAGAATGGGAGGCCCTGAGACCTTGCACAGTTGCTGTAGTTGAGCTTGGAAGACAAAGTGAGTTTCCTGGAAATCACTGGCTGTCGAGTCCATTCTGACTCATGGTGGCCATGGGTGTCAGAGTAGACCTGTGCCCCATAGGGTTTTCATGGCTGGTTTTGGGGAAGTAGATTGCCAGGCCTTTCTTCTGAGGTGCCTCTGGGTGGACTCAAACATCCAGCTTTGTGGTTATCAGCTAAGCACTTTAACCATTTGTACTACCCAAGAACTCCTGGAAGTCAGGTCCAAAAAGAGGTAAGGTCAGGTACCAAATTCTCACCATTGAAAAGAAAGTTGTTTACCAATTTCTCAGAGGACACAATGCCTTTCCTCATATGAGCATGTACATTAGATTTCCCAGGTGGATGATCTTTTGGAATGGTGATATTAGTAAGAGGCAATGCATGATGGAAGCGTGTTATTAGTAAGAGGCAATGCATGATAGAAGCGTGTTCTATCTCGAAGCACATGATAGTAACACATTTCATGTGGCTGTTTCTTACAGTACCCTGGGATAAATCAGAAGCCACCACACCATGAAAGAGGTAGATTTGATCCAGCCTTACTTGGTGGCCTTCTGATGGTCTGGCTCGATACCAGTGATAGATTTCAGAAGTTCAAGGGGTTGTAGGTGGTCTTCCATGAGCAGCATTTTCTCTGGGAAGGTTTTTCTTAAGAACAGAATTTGTAGAGCGTTGACTGTTCTGTTCTAAAGGTATCTAGGAGTAGTGCTTTCTGGATGCTGACCTATTTGTCATGACGGTTCCCGCCTGTTTGGGCAAGCCTTGACATGCTGATCACTGCAAGCCATTTGCTTGAGATACTCGTACTCTTGCTAGATTTGAACCTTGTTGTTAGTTGCTGTTGAGTTGGTTTCAACTCATAGAGACCCCCTGTGACAGAGTGGAACTGCCCCATAGGATTTCCTAGGCTATAACCTTTATGGGACTAGTTAAGCCAGGTCTTTATCCTGCAGAACTACTGGTGGGTTTGAACTACAAACTTTTCTATTAGTAGCTGAACACTTAACCATTGCATCACCATGGCTTCTCTTAGCATATGGGGATATTAACTAGAAGGAATAATATCCATATGCCTACAAGGAAGACCAGTTAATACTACTGTTATTCAGATTTACGCACCAACCACTAAAGCCAAAGATGAGGAAATTGAGGATTTTTACCAGCTTCAAGATGTATTGATTATTACTGGTAATTGGAATGCGAAAGTTGGAAACAAAGAAGAATCACCAGTAGTTGGAAAATACAGCCTTGATATTGGAAATAACATTGGAGATTGGATGATAGAATTTTGCAAGACCAATGGCTTATTCATTGCAAATACCTTTTTTCAGCAACATAAATTGGCTGCTATGTACGTGGACTTTGCCAGATGGAATACACAGGAATCAGATTGACTACATCTGTGGATAGAAGCAATGGAGAAGTGGCAATATCTTAAGCCAAAACAAGGCCAGGAGCTGACTGTGGAACAGCCCATCAATTGTTCATATGCAAGTTCAAATTGAAGCTGAAGACAAAACAAGTCCATGTGAGCCAAAATATGACCTTGATTATACTCCACCTGAATTTAGAGACCATTTAATGAATAAATTTGACACATTGAACACCAGTGACTACAAACCAAAAGAATTGTGGGATGACATCAAGAACGTCGTACATGAAGAAAGTAAAAGGTCATTAAAAAGTCAGGAAAGGAAGAAAAGACCAAAATGGATGTCAGAAGAAACTCTGAAACTTGCTCTTGAACAGACAGCAGCTAAAACAGTAGAAGAAAAGACAAGATAAAAGAGCTGAACAGGTTTCAAAGAGCAGCCTGACAAGACAAAGTCAATTATTGTAATGAAATGTGCAAAGGCCTGGAATTAGAAAACCAAAAGGGAAGAACACACTTGGCATTTCTCAAGCTGAAAGAACTGAAGAAAAAATTTAAGGATTGGGTTGCAATACTGAAAAGTTCTTTGGGAAAAATAACTGGATGATGCAGGAAGCATCAAAAGAAGATGGAAGGAATACACAGAGTCCCTGTACCAAAAAGAATTGGTAAATGTTCATCTATTTCAGGAGGTGGCCCGTGATCAAGAACCTATAGTATTGAAGGAAGAAGTCAAAGCTACACTGAAGGAATTGGTGAAGAACAAGGTTCCAGGAATTGATGGAATACCCATTGAGATGTTTCAGCTAATGGATGCCACACTGGAGGCACTTACTCATTTGTACCAAGAAATTTGGAAGACAGCTACCTGGCCAGTTGACTAGAAGAGACCCATATTTGTACCCATTCCAAAGAAAGGTGATCCAACAGAATGTATGTTGAATAATATCATTAATACCACATGCAAGTAAAATTTTGCTGAAGATAATTAAAAAAAACTGTTGCAGCATTGTATTGACAGGGAACTTCCAGAAATAAAAGCTGGATTTAGAAGAGGATGTGAAATGAGGGATATCATTGCTGATGTCAGATGGATCTTGGTTGAAAGCAAAGAGTACCAGAAAGATGTTTGCTTGTGTTTTATTGACTATGCAAAAGCATTTGTTTGTGTGGATCATAATAAATTATGGAAACATTGAGAAGAATGGGATTCCCAGAACAATTTATTATTTATGCTCATGAGGAATCTGTACATAGACTAGGAGGCTGTCATTCAAACAGAACAAGGAGATACATACTGTGTGGTTTAAAATCAGGAAGAGTGTGCATCAGGATTGTATTCTGTCACCATACTTACTCAATCTGTTTGCTGATCAAATGATCTGAAAAGCTGGACTATATGAAGAAGAACGTGGCATCTGGATTAGAGGAAGACTAATGAACAACCTGTGATATGCAGATGACACAGCCTTGCTTGCTGAAAGTGAAGATGACTTGAAGTACTAACTGATGAAGACTAAAGACTACAGTCTACAGTATACATTACATGTCAACATAAAGAAAACTAAAATCCTCACAACTGGACCAATAAGCAATATCACGTTAAATGGAGAAAAGATTGAAGTTGTCAGAAATTTCATATTACTTGGATCCACAATCAACACCAATGGAAGCAGCAGTCAAGAAATCACATGTCACATTGCACTGGGCAAATCTGCTGTAAAAGACCTCTTTAAAGTACTGAAGAGCAAAGATGTCTCCTGGAAGACTAAGGTATGCCTAACCCAAGCCATGGTGTTTTCAGTTGCCTCATATGCATGTGAAAGCTGGACAATGAATAAGGAAGACTGAAGATGCGTTGATGCTTTTGAGTTGTGGTGTTGATGAAGAATACTGAAAGTACCATGGACTGCCAGAACATCGAACAAATCTGTCCTGGACGAAGTGCAGCCAGGATGCTCCTTGGAAGTGAGAATGGCAAGACATCATCTCACCTACTTTGGTCATGTCAGAAGGGACCATTCCCTGGTGAAGGATGTCATGCTTGGTAAAGTAGGACAGCAAAAAAAGGGAAGATCCTGAACAAGATGGATTGACACAGTGGCTGCAATGATGGGCTCAGGTATAGCGAGGATTGTGAGGATGGTGCACAACTGGGCAGTGTTTTTTCTGATATACATAGAGTTGCTGTGAGTCAGAGCCAACTGTATGTCATCTAACAACAACAACAACTAGAAGGGTTTCAAGTGCAGACTAATTTCCAGGACCTTGTCCTACGGGGCGGGAGCTCTGGTGGCATAGTGCCTAACGCACTTGACTGCCAGAAGGCTGGCGGTTCAAACCCACCAGCCAGTCCTCGGAAGGAAGGTTGGGCAATCTACTTCAGTGGTGATACCTCCTCGGAAACCCAAGGAGAGGTTGCTATGAGTTGGATCCAACTCCATGGCAGTGGGTTTGTCATACAGGCAAGGAGCTCTGGTGGCGTAGTACCTAAGGCATTTGACAGCTAACCAGAAGGTTGGTGGTTTAAACCCACCAGCTGTTCTGTGGAAAGAAGGTGGGGAAATCTACTTCTGTAAAGATTTACTGCCTTAGAAACCCTATGGGGGATGCTATGAGTCAGAATTGACTCAATGACATTGAGTTTTGGTTTGGTCATACATGCATCATTCAGAAATGTCACCTTGTCACAGACCTCCACAGGCATTGAGATTTTTAAATATGACCAAGGCTCGCGCAGTGCCTAAGGCACTTGACTGCTATCCAGAAGGCTGGTGGTTCAAACCCACCAGCCACTCCTTGGAAGGAAGGTTGGGCGATCTATTTCTGTAGTGATACCACCTTGGAAACCCAAGGAGGGTCTGACTCGATGGCACATAACAACAACAACAAGACTATCATTTAAGAAGGCAGGAAAGCTGACTGGTTCCTTGAGAAACCTTTTCAGACTGATCAAAGTAGTAAAATTGAAAGGACGAAGTCTTAGTTGTCTGGACACATAGAATAACGACTTCATATCCTAATAAATGGGAACT